TGACAGACATGGCTCAGAGGACCTTTAGGACCACACGTGTGTGGCCCAGATTTTTAAGGAAGAGGTGAGGCAAGTGGGAGCTGCCCTGGTAGGTTTGGATGGAGGGTGGGGTGGGGGCGTGGTAGTGCCAGACGGGTAAGGGTGTGTATGAGCTTGTCTGGCTCTCCTGGGTGGGATGGGATAAATGTTTATGTCTAGATGGTGGCTGTCTCTGTGAGTCTGGCCTGCTGCATGTTGGGGACAGAAATCAGACAGGTGGGCTGTGCAACAAACATCTATTTAGTGGGCTGAAGAAATACAACAGAACAAGGGCCTGGGGAAACCTATGCCTTGGCAGAAGGTACAGGGGAGACAGTATCAATTTTTGGAGAACTTCCAAGGCCTATGACCTTCCATGTGCTGTGCCCCAGGGCAGAAAGGGCTACCCTCCTGCCCGGCTGACTGGATGAGTGTGGATAGTCAAAAGGTTATGTGAGTGGCCTGCTGGATGGACAGGAAGTGGGAGCGTGGGAGCCTCAGGTGACTGAGGCCCCCAAGACTGAGGCTTAACTGGCCAGGTCTGTGGCTCTGTGCTCTGTGGGAAGAACCCTCTTGTGATACTTCAGCATCTCAACCCTCTTTTCCACATGGGCAAGACTCCCACAGGTGACCCCAGGGATTATTTCTCTGTCCTTCCCTCGAGGAGGATCCCAAACTCACTTCATTGTATAGATTCTTCCCTTCTTTAAAAAAACTTTAACTCTGGTAAAACACATTACATACAACTTACCATTCCAACCCTTTTCAAATTCATGGGTATGAAGCACTTCACTTGTTGGGCAAGGGATCTGTACCCTTTTTTTCTTGCCCTTTTTCAATTTTGCAGTGACTTCCTAGCACTTCTCTCAGTTCCCACCCCTGCCCTGCCCATAGCCACTGCAGCAGCAGCACTGGCATTCAAGTCTCCCAAGTTCCAGACCTGGGTGCCCTGGGACTGCCCTAGGTGGGGCAGCTGGGGCAGGGCCTAGCTGTGGGGCCAGGCCAGGTTTCTGATGACCTGCCAGTGGGCCAGTCAGGTTGCCGGGACTTCCGGGGTGACTTTCACCCAAAGTCCTGGCTGGCTCCTACAGGTCTGAGCTCTCTGCCCCAGGGCAGTCACCTGAGCAAGTACTGGCAGCTCTCAGCTTCCACTCCCACCTGCAGCCCCAGGCTGCCAGTCACTAGGGAGGGAGGGCATTAGGAGAAGGGGGGACAGTGGGGTGAACAAAGGCTCCTCCCCAGCACCGGTGACTCATGAGGGCAGTCTAGGTCTCAGGAGTTCACTTTCACCCCAGGGGATGGGGCACATCTCAAAGGTTTTAGTGTGAGGGAGTAAGCAGGGTCCTACTGCCTGGACCACGATAACCACAACAACCCAGCCATGACATGACTCGTGGATCTAGAATAATCTTGGAGGAACTGGTGGGAGCTAGAGTAGGCACCAGGAGTTACCTGTTAGCTGGCTTTTTGAAAATTCTGAAATCCTCAGATGCTGCCTCTCTAGGAACGCCCAGTTCTCCTCCTTGGGGCTGGGGCTTGGCAGCTAGGGGGGTGAGAGGACAGGGGAGGGCCCACAGCTGTCAAGTCCTTCCTTCACCGGGGTTATGCCATTTCACCCTCTTGGTGATCCTGCCTGTTAACACATGAACAGAGTCTCAGGGAGGTCACCAGGAATTTATGGACCTGGGATTAGAGCCATTCTCCTCTTCCTGGTTAGAACACAGCCACAGTGACTTTTATACAGATATGAGTGGAGCTGAACATGGGCAAACTGTCCGGTACTGGAGGAGTCCCAACAGGAAGGGTGGTCTGGACGTGCATAGTACAGCCAGAAGGGTGGTCTGGATGAGCCCAGGCCCTGTGCACTCAGGGCTCACTGTCTCCTAGAGGTAACACAAAGGTGGTTCCCTAATGCTGATACACTGTGACAAGTGCAGTGCAAAGGATGGTGGAGTACTTTTGCCTTGAGGGTGGGGCCATGGGCAAGTGGGTGCCTTGCCTTGGGCAAGCTGGATTCCCCCAACAAACAGCATTTCCAGATGGGGACACCAAGGCTATATTTAGCATAGAAGTGCTCAAGCAGCAGATGGGCCTGGGTCTGAAGGAGCCTCAGAACCAGCCCTGAAGCTGGGACTCAACCTGAATGCCTGGGCTGGAAAGCACCCTCTGGGGTAGAGTGGGGAGACAGCTAGGCAGGCAGGTTACCACAATAGTGGAGGGGAAAGGTAATGGGTCCAGAGGTAGTAGCCAGGAAGGAGAAAATTCCTTGTCTCCTCAATGGCTCCAAGATTTTAGAGTCCTGGCCACTTGCAGGCAGCATGGGCACAGGCACTACCCAGCCAAGGGACAGACGGGGACGGTAAACCCACATACCAGGCGTGGGCAGCACAGCCTTACCAGCCACTTGGAGACGGGCCCATGACCAACATTTTGTCCTTCTGGCAAACTTTCTCCATAAAGAGAAGGGAGAAGAACAAACTGACATCTACAGATGCCTACCACTTGCCAGGCGTCTGGCAACTGGGTGCTTTGTAGATATTGCTGCACTTGATCCTCTGAGCCAAATTACAGTTCTCTCTTCCAGATGAGGAAACTGAGGTGCAGAGATCAGGTCAGCTGATTCAGGAAGTGTGTGTATCCAAAGAGCTTGGTTTCCCTTCCTCTGACCTGGTGCCCTATGTGCCCCACCCATTGGCATCTAGGGCAGGCAGCCAAAGCAGAGGAGTCTGCCCTGCAAGAATCCGAAGGTGGGAGGAGATTGCCCCCACTTGGAAGGCCCATGGCACCCAGGCAAGCATGCGAGGGGGACAGAAATCTTGCTTCTGCCAGCTTCTGCCAGCCCACCTTCTTCTCTCAAGGGCCTCAGAAAGGCAGGCTGGAAGCTAAAGGCCAAAGGCACAGGGGTGGAAACAAGAGGCACTCTGCATCTAGGGCCGGCTGGCAAATGAGGAGAACAAGTACAGGTCTAGGCAGCAGGAGACCCAGCTTCCAGATCCAGGTAACTAGGTCTGAGATGGGTTTCTGGGGAGCAGGTCATGTCTCCTTTCTAGACCTCAGGTTTTCCATCAGGGAAGGTTAGACTGAAGGCACCTAAGGGCTCAATATAATGTTATATGGTTTATGCCCTAAGGTTTATGCTTATGAATGCTAACAGAAAAGCATGAGGGTGCAGGGGCATGGAGGGGAGAGGAGGAGGCACTTTCTGTATTGGGACTGATGTGATCTCTCCCCAGACATCCAGGACCTAGCACCAAGTTCAGCGGAGTTTCTCAATCTCTTGATCTGACTACCATAGGGTGAGTGAGCATATCTCCTTTGGCACAGAGGCTCTCTGTGCCATAATATCTGTGGCTCATAATATCTGTGCATACCACGTGCATCCCCAAGCATGGTCTTGCCAGCTCTGCAATGATCCTAGCCAGCTTGATGGGCTGCTCAGGACTCTATGATGGCGGTACAGCAGCAGTCAGCAGGGAGCCTCCTGGGATTCTTATAAGGACCAAATGAACCCAGAGCAGTTATCAACCAGTTTTCTTAATTCTGGCACTTCTATTGTTAGCAAATTGGCAAGAACAGCAGAAGACAGGTTTGCAAACTGGTAACCCATGACCCAAACCTGAAATATAAGTGACATGATGTTCCCTTTTTGAATTTGTGGTAAAACTATTGTAACATAAAATTAACCATTACCATTTCGTACATTCATAACGTTTGGCAAACACAGTCTCTGTTGGATTCCAAAATATTTTCCTTTCCCCCAAAGTAAACCCCAAACTCATTTAGCAGTCGCTGCTCATTCTGCCTTCCCACACTGTCTGGGGATACTCTGTTTTCCATCTACATGGAATTAGCTACTTAATATAAATGGAATCTTACCACTTATGACTTCTTTATCTGGATTTTTCAGGTTTGGGTCATGGGCTACCACTCTGCATAATTTTTTTGAGGTTCATCCTTATTATAACATGTATCAGAACTTCATTCCATATTATGGTTGAATAATATTCCACGCAGGGACGTACCACCATGTGCTTTATCCAGTGGTTAGCTGGTGGACAATTTACACTGTGTTCACCTTTTGGTTATTATGGTCCTGCTCTGTTTGAGTTCCTGTTTTCAATTCTTTGGGATACATACCTTGGAGTGGAATTGTTGGGTCAAATGGTAACTATGTTTTAACGTCTTGAGGAAGATGAGGGGTTTTAATATGTGGATTTGAATGCCTTTACATGTCCATCTCTGTCTCCTCTTCTACTGACGTACACCCGCCCATTTGATTTACATTATTTGTCTGGCCCTGGAAGGCATCTGAATTTGATGCCCCTAGAAGACTTTGCGGCAAAAATAAATGAGTCTAATCCCGTCGCCAACGAATTGGAGATCTTGGGAAAGGCTCTCCACCTCTGGGAGTACTTTTTTTGCTTCGCCTCAAAAGGGGATAATAATACCTAACAAGAGGTAAGGGTCAGTGAGATGACAGACAGAGCGTGCCTTTCCGTTTCTTCGGAGACTGTCCAGTGCTGGAGGCGGAGAGGGGCGGGAGGCCAGGAGGATGACATGGAGGAGGAGCAGGGCAAGCTGTGCGCCCTCTGGGGGTGCCGGCCGCGCTCGGGGTTGCAGACTTGCCCTGGCCCAACAGCTGGCGCGCACCGGGTGGCCGCCACACGGGGGTGCAGCCGGCAGGGGGCTTGGGCGCCCCGGCGCGCTGCGCCTCCGCGGGCCGGGGCTGGGCTGAAGCCGCGAACCCGGGCGGGGCTCAGGTTGGCTGGCGGTGGGCGGGGGTTGCCCCCCGTCCCCGCCCCCCACATCCGGGGGCCGGGGCCGGGCTCTGGGCTCGCCGCGCGCGGGTGAGTCAGGCCGGGTTTTCCCTCCGCCTCTGGGGCAGGCGAGCGAGCGCCGCCGAGCGCGTCCCTCGCTCGCCAATCCGGCTCCGGCGCCTGCCCGCCCGCGTTTTCTCGGCGCCTGCTGCCCGGCCGCTCCGGCCGGGCTCGCTCTCTATGCTGAAGCCCGTGCCTCGGAGCGGGGTTCAAGTCCGCGCGAGGGAACTGCGGCGCGCAGCTGAGCGGCGGGCGAGGAGCGCGGCGCCAGCATGGTAAGGGGGGCGCGCGAAGAGCTGGGGCCGGGGCCCGGGCCGAATCGGGAGCTGGATTCTGGAGGTGGGGCCGGCCGCCGAGGTGGCGCTTTACCGACGACCTTGGCCAAGCCGTAGCCCCTAGCTGGGCGAGGTTTCCGTCGGAGAAGTGGGCGGGGGTGGCAGAGTGCGGTGTGCGCCCGGGTGCCCCCAGCTTCCAGGCACTGAAGTACCGAGGCGCGGAATCCGGGACCGACCGCGACGCCCCCCTTGGTGGGATAAGCTGCAGGTTATGCCGCTTTCCGCAGCCCCTGAAAACGCGCTTTGCTTGGAGTAGCGCCCCGGACCCCCGCGCCACTGCTTGGGTGCGGCCGACGCCCTTGGCGCGGGCGTCCGACCTCGGCCTCCGCCCCCCAGCCCAGCCGCCCTGGGCTGGCGCCCCGGGCGAGGGAATGTGACCTGGGCCCCCGCCCCCAACCCAGCCGACGCGGACGGGCCCCTGAGAGAGACCTGGAAGAGACGCCCTCTCCCGCCCCGCTCCCCGAGGCTCTCGTACCTCCCACGGCTCTAGGCGCCCTTGTCTCGGCCACGGCCTTCTAGGGGGCAGATCCGCAGGCTTGCCAACTTCGCCTGCCCCTCCACCGTGCCGGTGAAACCCCTCTCCCGCCCGCTCTGGGGTCACCCCTGTCTTCCTCTACCCCCCTGCCTCGTGCTAGCAGCAGCTGCCTACCCGCTGCGGGGGGCGGGGGAGGGCGACCTGCGGAGAGGAGGCGCTGCGCCCAGGTTTTGGCAGCCGGAGCGCGGTCCCAGTCTGGCCATAGCCTTTGGCCAAAGTAAGGGCCGGCCAAAATCAGGGCCCTGGCAGTGTCCGCAAAGAGAGCTGGGACCTGTCTCTCCCACCGGGCACCCCCTTCCCCCAAGGACAGATTGGGCGCTCCTCCGGGTTTACACCCCGGAGCACAGTTCCCCCTGACTCCGCGGGCTGTGATGGAGGTGCCTGCTGCCTGCCCGGCGAAGGAGGCCATCCTGGTGATCAGCCTCCTCCTCGGGCCCTCCCGGGCAGGGCTCCTCTGCCGGCTGGCAGGGTGTGGGTGTGATGTGCGAGACTGACTGAGGATGAGAGCCACAGCCTGCTCCCGCCACCGCCTGTAGAGCCAGCAGCTTCCAGGGCTCAGAGTCCTCATGCCGGCTGGAGGGAGAACAGGCTGAAGGGACTGGGACACAAACTAGTCTGGCTGCAGATGCTTTTGGGAGAAGCGGGAGGTGTCTGCCCAGACATACTTGGAAGCAGTGTGTGCTCTTGAAGGGCAGCTGTGACCCCTGATTGGAACAGAGAGCCTTGCCTAGGGATTTGGGATTGCACTTCAGTGTGGGGTCTTGGGCAGCTTCCCTCCTCTCTCTGGGCCTCAGTTTCTCTATCTATAAAATGGAGCGAGTGAATGAATATTGTCCTGCCTGGCCCCCAGAGTCTGTTGTGGGCATAAGATGAGATAATGGAGAGCTGAGAAAAACTAGCTGCTGTGCACACTGTGACTGCACAGTGATGCTGGCACTCACTCCTGCAGGGATGAGCCCCTGGGCTCTGCCTCTTCACCTGTCACATGTCACAGTGAGTACAGGTCTGCGCCCCCCGGGGGGGGGGGGTTTCCCTGGGCCCCTCTTTGGGAGCTGGGAAATTCCAGGCCCATTCCTCTGGGGCAGCTGCAGACACGCCCCTCAGCAAAGCTGATCCCCCCAGCAGGTGGTGGGACCCACCCCTTGGGGCCAGGGCTGGGGAGGGACTAACAGCACACTAGGCAGCTTCCTGCCACGCATTCTGGGATTTCTACCCCAGAGGGTGAATGGTGGGGTAGGAACTGGGACCTGTGCACTTAGTCCTGTGCATCTGAACATGACCTTGGACATATCATTTCACTTCCTGAGCCTCAGTGTCCTGTTCTGATGTGGGGGATGACATCATGTATAAGGATGCAGTAGGCCCAGCATCAGGCTAACCCAACAAGCGCCCCATTAGTGGACGCTGGGATGCCTCCCTGCCCGTCTTTGCTTTTGGACAGGGTGGCCCCCGATCCCCATTCAGTCTCTACCTTTCAGGTTGGTCCAGAGGAGATGACCCTCTGTCCAGGATTTTCAGTACTACTGGCTAATCTTGGGGTTAGGGGAGGGAGCAGGAGTAAAGGGGCCCATGCAAAATATGGCTCCATGGCCCAACTCAAATCTAGCCAGCTGGCTAAGGGGGGGTTTCAGCTCTACAGAACTCTGGGCAGAGAAGCCCAGATACTTGAAGAAGATCTGACTCTGCTCTGATCATCCCAGTGGGGTGCAAGGCACTTGCTTTCCCCCTTTCCACCACCCTCACCAAATCCTTTCCTGAATAACCTGCACAGCTGCCCTGGCCTGACCAGGCCAGTCCCAGGCTTCCAAGCAACAGGAAGGTGTGTACTGGGGGGAAGTGGGATGATCCCCTTTAGGAGAAGGAATTGTCCCCAGACTGATAGCTGGTTAGGGTAGAGGCATCTTGTTCGTGGAGGTAATAATACAGCCATGGAAGTTACCTAAGAGGGGACAGAGGGTGGAGGATGAGGACCTTAGAGAAAGACAAGGCAAGGGACTGTGTACCCCTTTCATCCAGCTCCATAGCTATTTCTAACGTTCAGGATGCTTGTGGAGAGAAGCTGGTCTCATGCCTCCCTCACCATCTAAACACACACCCCTGAGAGGCCTCCTGGGTCCTCTGAACTAGAGTATTACTGTGTTGTGCCCTTGTGTCCCGGAGGGAGTTCAGTGCTGTGTAGTGACCTTGTGCATGACTATCTACTGTTGGACTTGACCATCTGCACTGTGTCCTCTAATGTGGGATCCTCTGTGCTGCTGGTGGTACTGACTGGACTGTGGGTGTGTGTAGTGGACACACTGATGTAGCCCATGGCTACCTGTAGTTTAAGGACTCTCTCTTTCCATGGATCTGAGACCCTTCAGGGGGAACATGGAGTATCGGTTCTTGCTCCTGAGACAGGAAATGAGAGTCCCCAGGGTAGGGTGAGGCACAGATACTGGGCACTACTGCACCATCCCTACCTCACCCCCATGGTCACACCTGGTAGACAGTTTTGCAAACCCTTTCTCCTCTGTTGTCTCTTTGAGCATGTGGTGACTCTATATGGAAGATGGGGCAGAGTCTTGCTCCCTTCGGTCACTGAGGCCTGGGCATGGGAGGTGCCCGAGTGTCAGGGCCCATGGGGAGAAAGTGAGGGCAGGGCAGGGGACCTGCTTCTCTTCTGGCCTCCTCCTCCAGTAGTAGTGACAGGAATTAAGAGCATTCTCAACCACAATGATGTCTGTGGCTGGGTAAGCTTGTCATGATATGGGGTGTCAGGTTGGAAGACAAGATGCTCCAGTTTTAACCCTTGTGCTGTGGGTGACATCCTGAGTCCCTACTAGACATTGGGCAGCTGTGGTGCTGGGGTCACAGGCATTGTCACTTTGACCAGTCTTTGACCATGGACAAGCTACCTCACCTTTGCAAGGCCTGGGGCGCTTACCTGAAAAAAAGGATGGCAACTATGTCACAGGACCCAGTGGGACCCCTCTGCCGGGGCTGCCCAGCACCTGTCATTCCCAACCTGGATAAGTCCCTTGCCCCTGTGTGGCCTCTGACACCCCAGAAGGGTTGAGCATCTGGGGACAGGGAGGGGAGGAGAGGGAAAGTTACTTTATGTCCAGGGTGAGGCTGGGGGAGAGAGGCAGACCACTCCTACCCTCGTCACCACCCCACCCCCAGCAGAGCTTTGTCTTCCACAAACACAAAACCTGGAAGTGCTGAAGGAAGATGGAACCTCCTAAAGACCATTGTTTAGTGTGGGAGTGGGTGTCCGGGAAGCATGTTGGCTTGGGGGGACCACAGCTGCTGAGTGCTTGTGGGGCATCTGTCCTGTCTGAGATTGGGAGCCATGGCTGGGTGGGGGAAGAGGAAGCAGAAAAGGTGACATGTGTTCATTCTGCAAGTCTTTTCTGAATGCCTACTGTCTACTGGACTGGGCACAAGGGATCCAGTGGGCCTCAGGAAGGCCCCACCCTCTAGGGTGTAGTCCAGCACCATGGGACCTGTCCATAGCCTGGTCACTGGCCACCCAGCAGTGGCATTCCTGTTGGAACAGCTAAGCTCAGCTTGAACCAGTCTGTGTTGACCCTGGCTACAGGCCAGGCTCCAGACCAGGTTCTTTGTCCTGTTATCATCCTCATCCTCCAGCATCCCTGAGCGATAAGGGTTGTCATGCCATTGTCCAGAGGAGGAAGCCAGGGCCCACACACTGATTGGTCAGGATTTAAGATGCCCGCCCCTGCCGGGTGGTGAGCTTTGGTAGCAAAGATAAGGGCTGGCAGGGCCCTATCCACCCTTCATGCCCTCTTCCCTCTGCCTCCCTCCACTGCCCCTTGTGAACACCTGTTCCGGAAAACCGGACCATTGTTTGAGCCATCCTTCCTCCCCTTAGGCCTTTCCTGTTTGTATCCCTCCTACTGTGGCCCCCAACCCCACCCATGCCAGGTGCTTCCCTTGGGGAACTCTGACCCTCTGCAGGAAGAGGTGTTAATTTGGGTTTTCCCCCTTCCAAGGAAAGAAGGAATGGAGAGTCTGAGGTCACTGGCCCTTGTTCTCTGTACCCTCTGCCCAAACCTCAAAATGGGTTGGGAGTCTGGCAGCAAAGTGAGCAAGGTCAGAATCATATAGAGCCTGAGACTGCAACTGGTCCAGTCCTGCCTGGGAGAGACCCTTCTGTTTCATGGTCTGTCCACTGTGACCCTGCTCCCTTGTATGTCCCAATCACACACCAGCCACTAGCTGGATCTCGGGCACCAGACAGGGGGCTTTGGGACTGTACCTCCTTTCTCTTGCCAACCTAGGAATCCTGTCCCAGTTCCTCTCTGGGACCGCCATCTACCTCTCTTGGTCCTGAGTGGGTGGGGAGTGGACACAGAGCTAGCACCTGTTTTTAGGGCATCAGAGGAGTTGGGCTGCAAGTGCCTGGCTGCCCCTGATGGACCTTCCTGATTCCCAGAAGCAGCTGCCTGTGCCCTGTTGAAACTTCATGGCCACAGCCCCAGGCCCTACAGGCATTGCCATGGGCAGCGTGGGCAGCCTGTTGGAACGGCAGGACTTCTCCCCTGAAGAGCTGCGGGCTGCACTCGCAGGGTCCAGGGGCTCCCGACAGCCTGATGGGCTCCTTCGGAAGGGCTTGGGCCAGCGTGAGCTCCTCAGCTACCTGCACCTGCCCAAGAAGGACAGCAAGACCTCCAAGCGGGCCCCTCGGAATGAGCCTGCTGACTATGCCACCCTCTACTACCGGGAACATCCCCGGGCTGGTGACTTCAGCAAGACATCACTGCCTGAGCGGGGTCGATTCGACAAGGTGCGCCTCAGCCTGAGCTGCAGCGAGGAGGGTGGTGGTGGGGAGCTTGGGTCTCTTAAAGACCCTGAGGCTGGGATGTTGGCTGGGATGTGAAAATCTTGCTGTGGCCTGGGTCTTTGCCCTGTGTTCTCAAAGAGGATCCCTGGGGCTGTGGGATCTATGGGGCTGGGTCCTCATACCTCCCTTATCTTCCTTGCAGTGCCGCATTCGCCCATCGGTGTTCAAGCCTGTATCAGGCAACGGGAAAGGCTTCCTGTCCATGCAGAGCCTGGCGGCCCACAAGGGCCAGAAGCTGTGGCGCAGCAATGGCAGCCTGCACACGCTGGCCTGCCATCCGCCCCTGAGCCCTGGGCCCCGGGCCAGCCAGGCGCAGGCCCGGGCCCAACTGTTGCATGCCCTCAGCCTGGATGAGGGTGGCCCTGAGCCGGAGCCCAGCCTGTCTGACTCCTCCAGTGGGGGCAGCTTTGGCCTCAGTCCCGGCACCGGCCCTGGTCCATTCAGCTCCTCCCTGGGCCACATCAATCATCTTGGGGGTTCCCTGGACCGGGCTTCACGGAGCCCCAAGGAGGCTGGGCCACTGGCTGTGCTGAGCTGCCTGCCGGAGCCCCCACCCCCCTACGAGTTCTCCTGCCCCACAGCCGAGGAGGTGGTAGCTGTGCTGCCTGAGACCTGTGAGGAGCTCAAGCGGGGTCTTGGGGATGAGGATGGCTCTAATCCGTTCACGCAGGTGAGGAGTACTTGCCCAGGGTCCTGGTCTTTCCTTTGCATTGGAATATAGACAGGTGTACCCAGCCAGCCCACCCATCTGGCTCTGGGCACAAAGCAAGGAACAAGAGATGACTTGGCACCTAACCTCAACCCCACATGGCAGAGATGTCATATCACTGGTGGTCCTTGCTAGGACTTGTGTGGGACCGGGGAGACTCTCCTTAGAGAGTCATTTTTTGGGGAAACTCCTTCACCTCTGGAGGCTATCCCACTTTAGTGTACATGTGTGACTGGGCCACGGGTCCCTGGGCCCTTTGGTGTTGGGGCACAGAACATCGCTGTGGGTGGAGTGTTAGCAAGCCGGTCTGCCATAGGTGTGCTGGCTCTATTAAGCATGTCTTTCCTGTGACAGGTGCTAGAGGAGCGCCAGCGGTTATGGCTGTCTGAGCTGAAGCGCCTATATGTGGAGCGGCTGCATGAGGTGGCCCAGAAGGCCGAGCGCAGTGAGCGCAACCTCCAGCTACAGTTGTTCATGGCCCAGCAGGAGCAGCGGCGCCTGCGCAAGGAGCTGCGGGCACAACAGGGCCTGGCCCCTGAGCCCCGGCCCCCAGGTTCCCTCCCAGAGGCCGACCCCAGTGCTCGACCAGAGGAGGAAGCCCGATGGGAGGTGAGAAATCAGGCACATAGAAACTCTCCCATCCCCATAACTACAGTTCTGTCCTCTGCTTGCCCCGTCCCAGTCCCCCTCACCCTGCTTTGCTTGGCTTTTGCCCATGCTGTGCCCCCTTCCAGGTGTGCCAGAAGACAGCGGAGATTAGTCTGCTGAAGCAACAGCTGCGAGAGGCCCAGGCTGAGCTAGCGCAAAAGCTGGCTGAGATTTTCAGCCTGAAGACACAACTGCGGACCAGCCGGGCACAAACTCAGGCTCAGGACGCAGAGCTAGCCCGGCTGCGTGAGGCTGTGCGAAGCCTGCAAGAGCAGGCCCCTCGGGAGGAAGCTCCAGGCAGCTGTGAGACTGATGACTGCAAGAGCCGGGGGCTGCTAGGGGAGGCCGGAAGCAGCGAGGCCGGAGATGGCTCTGAGCAGCTGAGGGCAGAGCTGTTGCAGGAGAGGCTCCGGGGGCAGGAGCAGGCACTGTGCTTCGAGCAAGAGCGGCGGACGTGGCAGGAGGAGAAAGAGCGGGTGCTGCGCTACCAGCGAGAAATCCAGGGGAGCTACATGGACATGTATCGCCGCAACCAGGCACTGGAGCAGGAGCTACGGGCACTGCGGGAGCCCCCCACACCTTGGAGTCCTCGACTTGAGTCCTCTAAGATCTGAGGCTAGCGGAGCAAGCTGATAGCAGAAGCACTGTCAGAAGATGGCGTGGACAAGCCCGCTCTGAGACGGTCGGCTCCTTTCTTACTTGGCCAGGGGCAAGATCTGCGAGGCCAGCCAGGGATGGGGAAGCCCGCTGAGAGGAGGGATCAGTGGGGCTGTGGGCTGGAAAGGGTGCCAGCAGCAGGAGCCAGGGCAAGGCCCTCCTGGCAGAGAAGCACCTAGGCAGGGCCCTACCCTGCTGCCTGGAGTAGGTGTGGCCCGAGGAAAGAGGTTGGGGAATGAAGAACCCCAAGATGCAGAGGCATGAGGGAGGGAGGCTGGGATGGGAACATTGGCCTCCCCAGAATAAAACCATGTTTTGTATGAGGAGGGCCCTGGTAATCCATTGGATTTGTTCCCCACTTGAGTCTAGAAAATACTGAATGGTAGAGATTAGGGGCTACCTGGGCTGGAGCTCCTTCCATGGTCACCATTAGCAGAAGGGCATGGCCCATGCCTGTGTGTGCAGCAGCTGGGCATGTGTGTTGGAGAGGAATCCTTGCACCAGCATCACAGTTTTGTAGCTGCTGTGTGGGCTGAAATTCCTTTCTTCGGCACCAGTGGGATTTTTCAGAAGGAACAACGCCAGGGAACCTAGGATAACAAAAGGGCAAGTCAACCAAGGTCTTGCTAGAACATGAAGCAGTGTCTTGGTGGGAAGCCTGGACCCCAGTTGCCCAGGCCCCTTCTGCATTTAGTGTTGGCCTAAGACAGCCTCTGCTGGAGCACCCAAAGCTCCAGGAGGACTCTGCTTCTCTCTGAATGCGCCTCCCATCCTTCTGTCTTACTGGTGCACCCTTCCCTCCACAGTGATAGGGGAGCTGTGGGAAGGTGCCAGAGACAAGGCAGAGAAAGCTTGTGGGACACTTGGTACCCCAGCAAGGACTGGAAACATGTCCCTGAAGGCATAGAGGGCCATGTAGTTATATTCTGGAAGCTCTGTTCCACGAGGAAGCAGCCCCCCTTTTCTGAAACTCAGTGTCCTTCCAGGAGCATTGTTTTAACTGCTGCTGTGCATGGAGGGTTCCGATGGGCCAGGTGCTGTTGGGCCTTCAGGGTTTGGGCTGCTGTGCTTCCTGTCCCAGAGCAGCCAGCATACAGACGTCTCCCCTCCCAGACTCTGCCCTGGTGGGTCAGCGGCTTATTCCTAGTTCTTTCGAAACCTCCAATTTGTTCACATAGGGGGCGGTCCCTTCTCCTCTGGCCATACCCGGGAACTCCCACAGGACCCCAGCTGGCAGGTTCCAGTGTCCTGTGGGAGCACAGCAGTACCAATGGGAATGGGGCTGTGGGATGTGAATTTGGGTTCTCCGCCTTTTTAGGGTGGAGAATGGTGTGTGAGCTCTTGGTTGTGAGGATGTTGTGTTTATGGCCCTGTGAGTGGCAGGTGTGTAGAGATGTGCTGTGGGTGGTGGGTGTGTCCAAGGGGGTGTGTTTGGGACTCCTGGTTTGGAGGCCTGGAGGATTGCTTCTTGATCCCTCCCTCTGCCCGTTCCTTCCCCTCCAACCCCCAGTCCCTGAGCCTAACTGAGACCCGTCTAGACCCATCCTGAGCTCAGGTCCTCTGCCTAGGGTCAGAAATGGGTAGCCCATTTCATAGACCAAAGTCTCTGAGTCAGTGGCCCTTCAACAACCCCCTGTCCAAAGCCAAGCCACTCTTTCCCCACTCTTTCAGGGTCTTTCCCTGGCCCTAGTGCTGGTCAGGTGAGGGATCCCAGTGACCAGGGTCCACCTTTTGGTGTACCAGCCCTGAAAATAGCTCTCCACCCAGCAATTAGGGAGCTGGGCTGGCCAGTACAGCGAGCGGGGAGTGGGTGGGCGGTACCAAAACTTGGCAGCTGTGCCAGAAACCAAGGCCAGGCCCAGATGCAGGGGAAGGGCACCAGAGAACAACCTGGGAGTCTCAAAGGGAACCAGATCCCTGTTAGTTCATCCCTGCTGGGCAAACCAGTTCCTGGTCCCCAAGCCGGCTGGGTGGCTCAGGCCAGCAGCTCACAGGTGCCACTGTGCAGCTACTGCTTCAGGGCAACCACTCCCTCCTACTGCTGTTGGGTCCCTCAGCTTCCCAGTTGCCCTCAGGCTCCTCCCCCAGCAGACTAGGTCCAGACAGCCAATTTTCTCCACAACCAAGGGGCGATGCCCACTACCCTACCCCTACCTCCACACACACAGGGCTCCCTGCCTAGGTCCTTCCTGTTCTTAGCTGAGGAATTGTCACACTTAGTGGTGCCCACTGACCCTTTGCAGCATTCTGGGCCCAGACCCTGTGTATGTCTTCTCCACCAGCTCTTTGCCTGCTACTATAATTGTGGGTTTTTTTGTTTTGTTTTGTTTTCTCTGGGCTCTGGAATTGCCTAGGCAGGTCCATATCTTCTGTTTTCATCCCAAGAACCTTTTCTGGCTCTAGCCCAGAATTACTGATGGGCTGGGCTGGGGATGGGATATGTCCAGTGGGCAAGATGCCAGCTCTGAGTGTTCATCACTCCTGACAGTTGGTCTGCTAAGCCCTAGGACTCCAGAATCCAGTGACTGGGTGATGTATTGCTGCCTCCCTCAGGGTCAGATATGGTTTCAGATGAGGAAGCTGAGGCGATCAAGTCCCCTACCCTGGTGGCCCTTCCCAGAGGGTAGGTAGAGAGACATGATAGTGACTGGGCCAAAAGCATGCAACATACATGGGGACAATGGCAGACTCTCCGTGGTGATGAGTGACAGCAGAGCAAGGAAAAGTCAGAGGGACCCTGTCTGGGGGCATGAAGTAAATTTCTGAGACTGTGGGGATGTAAATATTAGGGAGCCTTTCTCCCAAGAGGGCATAGGCCCCACAGTCGTAATTCTGACTGCATAGCCCACCACCCTGGTAGGGGGGGCCTTAGCTCTGTCTTTTGAATTTAGAAGAGAAATAGAATGTGCTGTTTGTTGCAATAAAAACAAAAGAGATGGCACAAGAGAGCAGAGGCATGAGTGTGTAGGGGTTTAGAGGAGAGCTGGCTCCCTTATCACTCCAGGTGTAGGTGGCGGGTAGGGTGGCAAAGGTTGACCAAACTTGGATAGGTACTTTTTAACTAGGCCTGGACTTATTCTGTGTCCTCCCTTATTTAGTCCAGTTCTAGCAAGAATTCCTGCTAAGTTTAGCCAGAATCCCCAGCCTCCAAATCTGATCACCTTACACATCTAATGAGGCTCCTCACCTGCACTCCTGCTGATGCAGCCCTCGGACCTGCCTTCAATGAGACGGCTCAGAATCCCTGATTCCTGAGTCATTTTTCCTCCCCTGGCCAAACACCACCACCACCATCACCACCCCACCCTTGCTATAAATTCTACTTTTCCTAGTATTTGGAATTGAGCCCACACTCTACTACTCTGGAACCCCATTGTGGTAACCCTTCTTAAATAAAGCCTCTAACAATGGTCATGATTTTTTTTTTTTTCTTTAATGGGGTAAGCTCTAAGGGGAAGTTGGATTTCTTCAGGAGTAGCCTGGGAAGACAGCCTGCTAGGGTAGGCCTGAACTTGGACACAGGGAAGTTTGGGGCCAGTCTGAGAGAGGGTCCTATCCCTTCCAAAAGGAAAGAGGTGACAGGAGGCATGGTTGACCCGGGACAGCCTGGGAAGCTGGTCCTGGAGGACTTAACCTCCTGAGGCTGTGGACTGGTCTCAGGCAGCCCAGGGGGATAGGCCAGAGCCCGGAGCTACATCCTCAGAAAAACGCTACACTTGGTGCAATTCTCTGCAGTTGCCATCTTACATGTCTTAATGTTTTGAGAAGGGCTCCACACATTGTCATTTTGCTCTGGGGCCTGCCAGTGATGATCCAAAGCTGGCTAGGAAGGACAGGAACGGAGGCCAGCTACGGCTCCAAAGGTGGAGGAAAGAGAAAGCCTGTCTCCCAGGGATGGGCCGGGATGCTCCCAGGTCCCAGAGTGCAGCAGGGACCATGTCACCTCCCATACTCCCCTCCCACCCCCATCATGGGAGTGTCCATCTTTTCCCCTTTGGGGGCTGGCTTCTAAAACTCCCTTTCGGGAGACTAGAAAGGCTGAATTTTCACGAGCACTCCAGGGCAATTTTTATTGTTTTTTGTTTTTTTTTTTAAGATTTATATAGTGTGCTCTTTGTGTACCTGTTCCCACCACCCATTTAAGGTGTAAATTGCATACCAAAAAAAAAAAAAAATCACCCTTTTTAGGGTACACTTTTTTTAGAGCTTTGATCCAGAACATTTCCATTACCCCCTCCATTACCCTGTGCCCTGCTACTCTAGTTAACCCCTGATCTGTTCAATAAACTTTTGTTTTTCTTTTTTACCGTGTGTGTTAGAGCATATTACAAAGTGGCAAGTAAAGATATGACGTTGGTATAAAATAAAACTACATCTTAGTGGAAAGAATGTGAAGGGCCATTTCACATACCCCTTTTAAGTATGCACTGAACAGTTAAGTTTTTCTGCTTTGAAGCAACTCCCTCACCCCCAAATAAAAACAATATCCCAAGACTGATAAAATCGACTCTATAACAAAGCAAGTA